GTGAGGAAGAAACCAGTGCCCATGATGCCTTATTATCCTCAAGATTTTCTTCCTCTCTAGCCAATTCATTTTTCACTCGTCTTTCTCTTCTGCTAGACTGAATCCTTTATTTAATTAGAAGTGGACAACAATTTTCTTCATCAATGGCTTAATAGTGAGTAGGATGATGGGGAACGCCTGCTATTGTTAGAAGGAAGTGAGGAGAAAGTGTAGCCAGAGTCAAAAGTGGCTAAGATCATCCTCTTTTCCTATACCTCTGGCCTGTATCTTTCTCATGTTTTCTTCCCTTTCTCTTAAGTAGAAAGCTATCAGGAAAAGGAGCGATAGCTTTGAATTCTTTGTCAGGCCGCATCTTGCCTACCCGTGATCTCCTTCCATCACCCCAGAACAGAAAGAATGCTGAAGTTCTTCTTACATGTCATCTTCGGCATCTGGAAGAATTCTGCCTTGAACCCAGGATACCTTTCCGTAGCATCTGTAACTAGCATCACCAGCAGAACGTTTTGAGAGGAGATGAAAGTTAGGTTGTATGAAAAATCAAAGCTCCCACACAGCCTGGGAAGAAGGATGATGAATAGCATGGATGGGAGGGAAGGAGGAAAGAAGGATCAGTGACTAAGCGATCCATATTTGGAAATCCCCTTCCCCACCAGAGCAGGATATCAGTAATAGTACAACCCAGAAGAGGCCATAAAAATTGAAGCCGAGCCTCTCTCAGGCTCCTGGCAATTATGCCCCCAGCAGCCCATCCATGTTCTTCCCACGAGAGCATACCATGTTCTGGCCAATGTACTTACTTCACCAAGGAGCGCTCTTCCACTGGGCTCAACGAGTTATACACCTTCACAAAGTCCCCCCCTTGCTTGCACGGCTCCACGTCAAATGTGGTGAAGGTCAGGCTAATGACAGAGTTGGCATCGGCTCTCAGTGCCCAGAAGCAGCGCATATTGGATGGGTAAGGGCTGTCTGGAAATCCTGGTGTGGTAAAGCTGGTCACTACCCCTTCTTTTGCATGCAAGGCGTACCTGCAGGTGTCTAGCCAGGTGAGAGGAACAACACCAGAAAAAGAGAAAGGTCTCAGGAGAATGATTCGGTAAAGGAGTTCCAATGGGCAAATTAAACTGGAAAGATCCAAAAGATGTAGGTGATGGACAATAACTCCATAATTCCAGATGAAGACTGTTTTATTTCACGCCTCATTTTTTTTTTTAAAGTGTCAAATAGCTTTAGAACTTGAAATGTTCTTCTATTGTTCTCTTTGTTACCAAGACTATTTCCTACTTATCACTTTACGGTTGCAACACTTCATCTTGTTAGTTGGGTCATTTTCTATTTGGAATTTTTTATACGATCAAATAGTTTTTCAACGATTTTAATGAATTTGTACACCTCCCGAAGAACTGCAATTACCGAGTAGTTATAACAAGCAACAAAGGTACGTGGGCTCTAAGTGACTTTTTAAGGCCCACCTAGGCAAAATTTCAAAATAACACTGGCGTCCCTTTGCTTGTTGGGTGAGGAGCTGTATATTTCTGTGAGTGATTAAAATGCCGTGTTTAACACATATGGCTGTCAAATCTTGACATCAGTTTAAGGAACAAAGACCTGGCAAAGGGAAGGGCGTACACATACTCCTAACTGTTGAGAGCACAGAGGCATTTGTCTTGTTTGTGAAGAACCAGGGCAGAAAATGGAAAGAAAAAAAACAAACTACCTGGGATATTAACATTGCGCTCTTTGTTGAACAACAGGTAGCCCAGAAGTCTACATCCTGATCAAAAAGCCGACATGACAGAGTTGACTTTTCCCCCTTCCTTTGCTTCCTCCTGATGTCTCCTTGCCCCCACTCCCCCAATTCAATTCTACTGAGAAACTCCTTACAATTTTGTCTGGAGCAGTCAAATGTGTTTTGATAGGACAACAAATTCTCAGCTAGGCATCTAAGCAAAGGCAGATTTCATTTGCAACCCCGGGTGTTAACTCTTCATCTGAAGGAGACCAACCCCCCCCACACACACAATCCCCCCTCCTCCTTTGGGTTCTCCAAGGGACTCTATATAGCATATTATAGTGCATTATAACATTTAATATCATATCACATTTAGGTGCCCCTCCAAATGAAGTGCCAAATCATACCAAAGGCCACCATTAGAGTTACGGAACGCAGTTTTGGTTCAGGCTACATGGAAGGAACATGCAACATTTAAGAGAAAGACAACGGCTCCTTCAACTAGTTTCAGTTTTCTTGGTCACAATGCAGAAGAGGTCTGCTACTGTGTTCTTCCAAGATGTTTTTGAACTACCCAAACTAGCCAAGAGTTTCCCAGTGGTCTCCCATCCAAGTTAACTAACTGGGTCTGATGCTGCTTCAGTTTTTCAGTGTCAGCCTGCCAGCTGTACGCTACCACCTGGCTGGGCACAGCACTGAAAGGAGCAAAGCACAGTCTGCACAACACCCTGTAATGTCGGTAATTTGACCTTTTTTTTTAATGCTAAGGATAGAGGAACAAATTAATGTAAATACGTTGGAAAACACCGTTTCAGAAGCAGAAGAAAAGAGAAAAATCATACATGGAAGTTTGAAACCTGTCTGAAAGTCCTTCGTCAGCCACGGGGGTGGGCGGTTTTAATGAACATTATTTGCTTCCAATATGTGTCCAGTTTCAAGAAAATCTTTTAAGTTAAAAATTCCATCTTCTTCCTTTTGCAACCACATCAGTTTTGGTTTTAGCCATGATGCTTTTGTTTTGTAATAACTTTTTGAATGCTTGTCTACTCAGGAGTATGTCCAACTGAGGTCAAGAGCCTTTCTCCCACATAAACGGTGATAGGATTACAGTTTCGGTACTATTTTTTCCTCCAGACATCAATATTCCAATCAACCCCCAACCAAACAACAATAGCCAATTATTCAAAGATCTCATAATTCATTATTACTGCAATTAAAAACAACAACACAACAAAAATCAAATTTTACTTACTGTCTTGTGTTGCTTTCATTGCATCCAGATCAGAAGCTACAAGTTAAAAACACAAAACTTTTATAATGAGGAATTTAATTTTCCATCTTCAGTGTAGGACAATCTCAGACAGCCTGAATTCACAGAAGGAAAACTATCAACATAATTGTTTTGGGAGAAATCCAACCCAAAGCTTTTCATAGAAGTGAATCATCGAGATTGGGCTAGATGCAATCAATGTCATGATTGTGAACTTCCCTAAAAATCATCCAAGGTTGCTTTCCATTAACAGACATTAATATCTTTAATAGACATTGGAAAGAACCATCTAGCAATATTCTTATAGCACCTTCACGGTTTGCTAAAGCCTTTGTGTAGAATGGATAGACAGAAACCCACCCAAGTTACATATAACCTCAAGACGCCCATTTTTCTCCAATCCTCTCCTGATAAGTCAGTACCACATCACTGGATGTGGTCATTTCAATATAAACAGAGGAAGGGAAGCATAAGAGAAGAAATAATTCAAATTTCTTCTCATGGTCTGTACATCAGTTCTGCCCCTTTCTCCACTCAATGCTGCTATCATATAAAATTTAAAGAAAGCAAGCTTTAGTGCTTCTTTGAAAATATAACACCTTACATTTAGAGTCTATGTTTCGACTTTGAGAAACTAAGATTCCTAGCATTGATTTAATTTGTTACGGCCTACAACTCCGGTTAGTGATTTATAACTGTATTAACCAGGCATTCTTAGCGTAAAGCTTCATAGCGGCATTTAGTTTTTCCTTTAAAAAATGATGTAACACACTTCACAATTCTATAAGTAACTAAAGATATATTGAAAAATTGTAATCGCCATGACATTTTAGAACCATGTTTACTGATCTAGATTTTACTAACTCTTTTGATCTTTGTATATGTCTTTCATCTTTCATGGATTATAGTCTTTTTTAAAATGTTGAATTAAAAAAATAATGAAATGTTGAAGCCCTGACAGGTACAAATAACTAAGAGTGAATGAGCAGGTGTAAAATATTTTGAAGCCTGAGACAAATTTGTATCTTGGTTGTGTGCAAAAGTCATTATTATGGGATGGAACGTTCTGGGGAATGCAAGGATGTTCCAGGTTTGTTTGTGGGTTTCGTCTGGACCATGCCAGGCTGGTTGTTCTGAGGTTGCTATAGAAAGAACGATGATTTTGTACCTCTTACTTCAAAATGTCTGCAATAAGACCTCTGCTGCACAAGAAATTACAAATTACACTGGGGGACAGTTAGCAGGTCATGTTGCACATATAGCTGTGTGCTTTAGCATCTTGTGCTAATCCTAACCATCATTTTGCAACCCGAGGCAGCTGCCTCTTCCTTCCTCATGATAGGGCTGCCCCTAAAGACTGATCATTACAAATCTCTCATTTATAATGACTTTTCTGAGCATTTCCCACCCACTCAGGCCCAGCTATACTTATGCAAAACAAAAACTGGCTGAGTTTCAGTGCTCCAGATTGCTGAGACATTAGAAGTAGGACCCTATGATTTATTCTGCTGCTTTCTGCTAATGTTGCCTTGTTAAACATTTTCTTTTATTTGACATACCCCAAAGTTCAGTCTTCCTTGGTGTCTACTGCATATACTCCACCAAGCTAGACAGATGCTAGATAGATGGGGGTGGGGGGGAGCAAAAAAAAGAGACTTACGATAAGCAACAAGAGAGTCAACTCGAAACCCTGGATTTCGGGCTTTTTGCATTCCCGCTTTATTTGAAATTTTGAAATTTGCCATGGCCTTATCAAGAGCATCCACCTTGTATTTAGGAACACTGAACTCTGATGAGAAGTAAGCAATAATACTGCCCTCACTGTGTAAAGGGAAAAAAAGACAGATAGGTTAGAATCTAGCTCAAACAATTAGGGTTGCAAAAAGCAAGATGCCCATAGTAAAAAAAAATCTACTACGATCAATGGCTTCAGGTCTGAGTGTCTAAAATAATGTTTTTCAACCTTGGCAACTTGAAGATGTGTGGACTTCAAGTTGCCAAGGTTGAAAAACACTGTTCTAAAACATGCTAGACAGGTAGCAGAAGGCATTTTGCAAAATTTGTAGTAAGCAATCTTGTTTAAAGAATTCCTACACTTTTCAGCTCTACGCTGATCAACCCATATTGGAGTTTAAACTGATTCAGAGCAGCACAAATCAGTTTACAATCACCCAGCTTTAGAAAACGTGTTTTCTCCGTACCTCCACAAAATGAGTTTGTACTGTTTTACAGGCTGGGCAGGCTCTGTTGGTCAACCCAAACTATAAGGATACGTAAAAAAGTCATTTTACCAATACCCCAAACTTTCTGAAAGAGGTTTCACGCGCTACACACCTGAATGCTTTTACCTCCGTCTCTTTGTGGAAGGGACCAACATCCAAATTATTTGCATAGATGTCTAAGAGCTAAAGATAAAAAATTAGCTGTGTTCAGAACAAGCATAAGAATGGATACATTTCTATCAAATTCAGCTTAAAAATCAGCCTAACTATTCCAGCAATGCTAATTTTTCTCACCCCCCATATTATTATTTGCTGATGTCTTACTTATTCGGCTGTTGGGGTTCTACTTCTGTGCTTTATTACAAGATCCTCAACCCCTGTGTTAATAGTCTTTGTTTTAACTATGATTTACTGAACAAGTGATGGGATTGGACTATATTCATCCAGAATGCTAAAACAGTTTATAAATCGGAATGGCTGGATTCGTGCAACATGCCAAGCCAAAATCCAATAAACGACATTATGGATTAGTGCCATGTGTGAACCCTACCAGGTAACTAGAGTAGCTTGTCTGTCGCAGTGCAAATGCCTGAAGATGAAGGAGACCCAGCTTTAAAGTGCTGGATCAAGGTGGAACTAAACCACCATTTGAACAAAAAGGGGCTGAGGTCAGGCAGTTTTAGATCAACAAGGATGATTGCTAACAAAACCTCTCACTGCTTCAGACCCTGGAGAACTATTGCAATACAGGTAGTCCTCCCTGAATGACCTCTTGTTCAGTGATCATTTGAAATTACGATGGCATTGAACGAGGGGTACTTACGACGGGTCCTCCTAGGTACGGCCGTCACAGTGTCCCCACGGTCATGTGATTGTAATTCAGGTGCTCAGCAACCAGCTCACAATTATGATGTCACAGCATCCCAGGGTCACAAAATCTCCAGTTGTGACCTTCACTTCTGGCTTCAGACAACCAAACTCAATAGTGTAGCTGACAGGAGGTTGCAAATGGTGATCATGTGACCGCAGGATGCTGCGACCATGCGGGATTTGCTTAATGATGGCAACTGGGACTGCTGGAATAGCCATCATAAGTTGGTGCAGTGATGTGACATTGTGCCTTACAACTGCGTCACTCAGCGACATAGTTCCCAGTCCCAATTACCATTGGCAAGCAAGTTCTACCTATAACACTGAGCGAGACATCAGCAGAAGACATCCATTCAGCAGGATTGCTGAGCTCGGCCTTCCATAAATATGCTGGGCCTGTAACTCCCAGAATTCCAAAGACCATGCAGCTAGGGCTTCTGGGAGTTATAATAGCAATACATTTGGAGTCAAGAGGCGGTGGGAAGCTGCTTTAATCTAACCCATGATATCTAACACAGAGAACCTGTTGCTGCTGCTGGTTGTGTAGCTTTCAGGTTCTTACCGTTCTTTTTGCATCCCTAGCCAGTGCAGCAAATTCAGGAGAGCTGGAATTCTCATAGGCATCAATGAACCGAGTACCTATCAATCTCATGAGGCCATTGTATGGCTTCTGCACAAGGGCACTCCTGTCTAAAAGAAGCCAGTGGAGGACAGAGTTCAGAATAAGTAAAAATGTTAGACGTAATACTTTTTACTACCAGCCCAGAAATGCCTGGAACAAACAGGTACCCATTAATTTAGTTGGGGAAGTTTTCTCCTACAAGAAGTTTAATTTTTCTAGAATCCAGAAAAGCTTTATTTCTTGCAAACCATGAACACAACACATGCTCTGGTTATCAAGAAAATGAACACTTCCTTATCTAGGAAGCTCTAAAGTCAGATTTTAAGATGTGATAAAACATATTCATGATATTATTATGTAGGTTTTCAGGCAGTCTCAATTGAAATAGTTGAGTTACTCCATGCAGCAATTCTTACCCCACTAACCATCTTCCAAGTGGCAGAAAACACCTCCCATGGCCATACCTGTATAAATTTGGACATATAACCTGTGGCCACAAGGCTGTATCCCTACAAGCCCCAGGAATAGCCTTAGAGTCCCTTTGGAAATTGTTGCCATAGTTTTTAACCTGGGGGGGGGGTATGTATGAATTTCACATAATTAACTTAAATTGAATTTAAAAATAAATTAAATTCCACCTTGATTGTTGTTTTCGCCTCTCCATTAAAAAAAATATTTTAGTAGATGAACTCTAATACAAGGAGTCCTCAACTTATGACCACATTGGGACCAGAATTTCCATCACTCACTTAATGCAGTCATTAAGTGAGTTGCACCTGATTTTGCAACCTTTTTTGCTGCGGTCGTTAAGCGAATCCGGCTTCCCCCATTGACTTTGCTTGTCGGAAGCCCCCCAAGAAGGTCGCAAATGGCCATCACATGACCCTGGGATGCTGCAACCATCATAAATACATGCCATTAGCCAAGCACCCGAAGCCTGATCATGTGATCACAGGGACACCACAATGTGGTGATTGTTAAGTGCGAAGACTGGTCATAAGTCACTTTTTTCAGCGCCATTGTAACTTTGAACAGTTGTTAAACAAATGGTCATAAGTCAAGGACTACCTGTATAGTATATCTGGTATACAGTATATTTGGAATGTGATTTCTGGGGGTGTGGGGAGAGCTATGGAATCAATCAGAAGAAGCAGATGAAATGACTTAAGTGGCCCTCAATGTTCAGTGTGAAAGTTTGGGTTTGGGAAGCAGGTGGAGTGAAAGGGGAAAAAGCATCACTGGGAAGTTTTTGGTAGCATTTCTTGCTCTAAGGTTGCTTTTTCTGCTCTGTGTTTTGTATCTTCAATTTTCTAGAAATATGTTAATATGTATTTATCTGGTAAATTTATATAGCCTCCCATCTCACATATGGGACTCTGGACGGCAAACAAAGTTAAAAAAGAACAGTACAACAAACAATAAAAAAAACATAACAGAAAGCATTAAAAGCAGTAAAACCATTAAAACCATAAAACTTAATTTGCAGGAGGGCACAGTCAGTTTCCCTAACAATATAACCACCTTAAAGACTCCCTACCCCCATAATAATATAAACCAGACTGAAGAGGGTCAGAGCATTTACTTAAATAAAATGAGACTGTATCTTTATTTAAGGTCCCATTCAACGCTTAAAATAAAACCACCTTGATATTAATAAAAAGAGACAGGTGTTCAATTAAATTGATTTTAGATTTCAGTAAATCTGCAGTGCTACTTGCCATCGGTCATAAGCATCTGAAGCAGCTTCTCCGGGTCATAAGCATTGGGCTGGTATCACCTAATGAGCTAAGACTATAATTTCCAGAGTTTCCAGCCCTGTGGCTTCTTGGATATTGCAAATGAAACCCATCTAGAAAACAGTTCAAAAGTCTAGCCTTTTACTGGGTAAATTAAATATATTCACTAAGACTAGAAGTTCAGCAGTTCTGTTGTACACGTGAATAAACTCAGGGATCTCAGAGGATGCAGATTTATTTAAATGTAAAGCTGGTTGAATCAGTCATAGGCTATTAACTAATACATTAGTTTTTCTGCTTTAACACATTATAATTCATACCCTATTTTTAGTTTGGAGTGCAAACTCAGCCTTTCACAACTTACATATGAAGTGCCAAACCAGCAGCCCAACCAATAGAGAAAGGAGCAGGCAGGTGGATACAATGATGACCACCACCACCCAACGTTTTGGACCACGCTTCTCAAGCTTCTTGGTGTTCATGGTGGGAAGGAACTCCACCCCTTCCTCAAGGCCATTCATGTCCTAGAGTAAGACAGATATAGATTATCAGGATGCGTGCTAACCACATCCATAAACATCACATACATGTTTTCTCACCCAGATGTCGTCAGCAGGGTCAACATCAGAATCTTCTCCCCAACACACATTGCAAGATACCTTTCTGCTTGAAGTGACATCAGTTCAAAATGATATCTGAATATTTCTTCAAATTGTCCTCAATGCAAACCTCATCTTACTCAGCTCTTTTCTCCAGTCTCTGAGTCAATTTCTCAGAATCTGTTGCCTGAGACAATTCCTCCATTCTGCCTTGGGTTAGGACTGGCCCTGCTTACAAAGCTTTGCTAGATCACACTAACAAGGCAATCTTTCCCATCCCCATTCAAGTGAGGGAAGACTTAGCCCTACTATCCCTAATGCAACCTAAAATATGCAGGGCGTACTACAAGTTCCATCAGTCACAGCAAGTAGAGGCATCAGGTGTGAATGATGGCCTAGGAAGACACCATGCTGGAAAAGACTGATCTAGTCCAACATTTGGGTCCCCTGATTGTTGAGGCTCACAAAGGAAAAAAAATAATCCAAGCTTGATTCAACAGGTTCAATGCTTGAATTATTCTCTCTTACTCTCCCCTCCCTACTCTGAGTCTCTCTTACTTCTAATTGGCTTTTGCTCTGCTGGCTTTTGCTGGCTCAAAATTTTTTTTTTTTTTTGCTTTAAGCTCTTGTGCTTAATTAACTTGTATTTAGATGCTCTGCACCACACTGCAAGTCACCTTGCAGTCACAGACAGACATATAGATTCAAACCATTTCTTTCTCTTCACCCCACAGAGTGATATGTGATCCTCCCACATATTCACTGAAATGCTCAAGGGGAGAAGGATCGCCCCTAATGATGACTGGTCAAGAGGCACCTGCCGGTCCCAAGCCCATCCACCTGCCCCATCTCAGAACCACCCACAAAAATCTTCCTCCTAATTCAGGACATTGGCTCAAATAACCACTTGCCGGCAGCCATCTCAACTATAGTAACCATCAACCATTCTCTCAGCAACAGTACAGATGCAAAGGTTATCTCAATATTTGATTCTAACCCAGAGTACAGGGAAACATGACTGCCACTGAACAACAGCTTCTTCTTGTTGACATGTTCTAAAAGTGCAGGACCAAATAAAACCCTATGGATTACTGGAAGTGCTAAAGAGAGATGCTGGAATAACAGTTGACATACACATGCAGGAAAATATTACATATTTCCGGTCTAAACCTAACTCCCCTATCAAAAAGGCATAGCCCTGTAGTACTGTATCTGGGGGAAGATGAAAAGCACAGGGTGCGAACAACAGCCAGCCATGTTAGGTAGAGCAGCAGGATTCAAACTGGAGACTCCCTGATCAGGAGAGTTTCTTCACCAATTACCATCAGTCTGAAAAGACTGCAATCCAACTGCTAACCAGAAATTGAAAAGGGAGAAATTCCTTAAACCCCTTTGGCCAACCTTTTCCAATCTCATAACCTCTGTATGTGTTGGACTACAAATACCATCATGTGTGTTGGGAAATGCTGTTCTAGTACATAGAAACTCTGAACAAACAGCATCAGAAGAACATGTACACTCATTCTCAGAAACTGCAGGGATATTTGAGTATTGCTCGCACACTCACCAAGGAGTTTCAGGAGCACTGTTTTCTCACTGGCCCAACCCAGCTCCACTCTAGCACCTGAGAGTAGATCAGGCCAAAACAGGTTGTCTCGGCTGGGCCACACCTGTGTTACACGCTTGGCATCAAGAACTCCAAGGTGATAGAATCCCATCTATAAAGTCATCACCTTTCTACAGTTTCAGGAAAGAAAAGGGGGAGGCGTCAACTTCCTTTTGTCTTGGGCACCAGCCCAGGCTGAGCTAACAACCTGCTTCTTCCTGTTACCTTTCAATAGTGTACTTATAAGTGGAGAAAACTAGTTTCCAAAAGAAACAAACAAACAAAAAATGACAGTGAGAGAAAGGCATGATGGATCCCAGAAAATAGCTTCTTATTCATCTCAGGCAGTGACCTGATGTAAGGAAATGGATACTAACCTACTGGCAAACACACCTGGGATGGGAGATATCTGTGACCCGATAAAACTGGGTGGAAGTGACCCCTTATAACCCTACCTGTCAGAGAAATAATCTAGCAGTGGAGGAAGGGATCAAATCTCCTACTGCACAGCCAGATCGCTCCATTTCTCCATGTAATGAATTTTTTCACAGGGGATTTTTGGCTCCCTAGTTTGTCTTCCTTGAAATCTTCCTCCAAACACACATTTTCCCTTACGATTGTTTTTTGAGCCCATTAAACTCTGCTCCAAACCGCAATCAGGCCAAAAGTTGTAAAACTTCATTTGTTCAAATTTTATTCTTTGCTAACCAATGTCAGGCATTATACCAGATATGGTTATTAATCTTGACTTTTCAGACTCTTAGCTCTTGACTCTGGAATAAGCTTACTCACGGAAGATTCCTGGACCTAATTCAGCTGGTTCTGACACTTTTTTGCAGAAAATAGAAGCTACATGTGTATGTATATATATACATACATACATACATGCCTGCATATATATATATGTGCAGGCATGTATGAATGTATGTATGCATCACAGGTTTTCATTCTAGACTTTCCCCTCCCACTGGATATTTGGTTATTTTCTTCAAGGTCATGGAAGGCAACTGAGCTTCGTTGGCGTAGCTTGGGAACTTCTGGTCCCTGCCATCCCACTCATTTCTGACACCTACAATGCTCCTCTTCTCCTCTCTCTATTCTGAACATTACGTTTTGTGAGAGTCAGAACTTGTTTGTTTTTAGACACTTTAAAGGGAAGAGGGAGCTCTAGAGTGGCAAACCTTAAATCTAAGGCTCCTCTAATAGAAAGATGATGCTGAATAAAAACTGTGGTCAGATGCTTCTCTAAAGTTTCGTTTCTGGCTGCAGCTTACAAAACTAATTGTTGAAGCAGAAAGTAGTATTTTATAACCAAAGCAGATTTTCCTCATCATCATCTTATTAGAATTATATCCCACTTTTCTTCCATAGAACTCCTTCTAGGGAGCGAATAAGAACCACTCTTTAAAATTGGTAAAGCTGAGAGACAGCGACTGGACCAAGATTACCCAACGATGAAACTGAATATTTTAACCATTACTAGGTCATAATCCGAACAGCAAGGATATCGAAGCTCAGGGAACAACTTTACTTCCTTGCCTAAATCCAAAACCAAAGATACACAACTATCCTGTTATCACAAAGTTAGAAAAGTCCTTGTAGCTCCATCCCTGGGAACTACTAAAACAATAAAGCTTTTCTGGAGTGAAGTGGGAGGGAATAGTCTAGAATGAAAACCCATGATGTATACATACATACATACATACATACATACATACATACATACATACATACATATACAGTGGTACCTCGGGTCACGAACGCTTCTGTTCACGAC